TGTGAGCATTCTCACGAACTCTATCACATCACCTGTTTATGTTATGGTTCCGGCGCCGACCAGCCGGAATACGACTAAAATCCCGGGGAACTACCGGACCAAATGAAGCAAACCTACTAGTTCAATTATTCTTTTGTTCGAGGACATTCTCTAATAAGCTTTTGCCAGGTGTAAACCTATTTTGTAAGCATTCATGATTAAATTTAATAAACGGCAATTTGGGTTATTAATTGTTATTAAAGCCAAACTCGAGATTTTCCATTTAAAAATCTCACATGCATATATAAGCACATTAGTATAATCAAAAGACGGCTTCGAAGGTCTTTTCTTGACTTCATCCAATGTGAAAAATTTTATGTGTCTCACCAAAGTTCGTATAGCTCATGCTCTTATATTAGTCGAGCTACCGGTTCAAACAAGCCCAAGCGGATGACTATCATCCATATCCAGTTGGGTTAATACCGACGGTAACAGTTTAATCGTAGGTCATCAAAATTTAATAAAAACTGTAAAAAGAACTTGTGCCTTATAATTTGGACAAGTACTAATCACTCAGGTGATTCAAAAGTTTAGCAGAAGTAAGCCTGATAAGTCGAACAAATTCGAAAAAGTTCAAGTTTTTGTAATATGTTTTTGGTAACAAGTAGATTTTATTATGGTAGTATCAACTAAATAATACAGTATGTCTGTTAATGTAGAATTTCTTCCAGGCAATTTGTACCAACTTTTATGTAGGTGACAATAATTTTTTTTTTAGGTACATTCTGATTCAATTTGTACTCTGTAGGTACTCAAGAAAACAAAAAATATTTTATCATAAATCAATGATCACATATTGAGACAATATGTATAATAATACACATTTTCGCTGATGTGCACATTTGTATGTATATACAAATTTTCAATGCAGTTCTGTACCGTCAGCATTTCAGTCTCATGTCGTTTACTTTTAACCAAGCCTCAAATTGTCGTTCTTTCCTAACGTTATGAATGGCAACAACTCTTCGAATATTACATGGAGTCAGTTTCGCGTATCCTAAATTATAAAACTGTAACCAATGTGTATGACCAATTCCTAATTCTTTTGCCACTAAACCAGTTAGAAAAACATCTTCTAGTTTAAGAAATGTGTGATTTAAACTAGCTTGAAATAGTTCATGTGCTAAAAATCCGGGAAACACATATGCAGTCCCGGAAAACATTGGAGGAAATTCTGAATCCTTGTATGCATTCAGTGATACGTAGTACTTTGATTTTGGGTTTCGATCCGGTTTCCAATTTCCAAATAACCTTCCATGAAAAGTCCTTTCCTTTGGATCTTTTGTTGAAAGATAATCGAGTAATTTTGGAACATTAATAAACATATCTTCATCTGTCTTCAGCACAAAAGCAGTATTTGGACAGTTGATACTTAACCACTCTAACATAAACACTGTTTTGAGAGTAAGATTGTTATATGTGTCCATGAAATGACCCTGAACAACGTCATGATACAGATTTTGTTCATTTCGTACCTCGGATTGAACTTTTTCATCCGAAGTTTGTCCCACCATAAAAATAATTTTAACATCATTTCGTATGGACCAATGACCCCAAGTCAATCTTACATCCATACGTGCTCTTAAGTTTTGTACAGCGGACGTCACCATTATCGTTAACGTAATATTTCCATATGGGTTTTCACAAATAAACGGATCGACGTCAACGTGACCTTCTTCGTAAATCATTCTTACAGGATCCAGTATTTCAGGTTCAGTAACTGTCGGAGCTATAGTTGAAGTGGTTACTGCAGATTTATCTTTTAAAGTATCTTCCAAGAGATTGGTATCATTCATATTAATGTATCCATTATTATCCGACGTCGATGTGAATGAATATTGTTTATGATAGTATAAAATGACGAAAATAACAATTAAAATGAACAGTACCACTTGAACTGGTCCATTTCTCAATACTTTGTGAAGCATCCTGAAATAAAAGAAAATAACATTTATAGTTTTTACTTTATTTTACTCATAGAAGTTAAAGTACCTTCAATGTTTCAAATGCTTAAAGGTTTTTTTTTCAGTGACATGATTATGAGACAATCATAATAATAACACATTATTACTAGCTTTAACCCATCCACATACTTTTGTCGGTGGAGCGTAGCTCTCACCCCATGCCATTTGCAGAAACAATTCCCATCATAATCTAATGTAAGCCTTTAGCGTTAAACATTAAAAATTTATTAATTTTCATAATATGTCAATATATGGAATATATGAAACTAATTATACAACCGAAGATTAGAGATTTAAACCCTGCTTCTCTAATTGCCTAAAAACAAACTCAAATACGTCTGCATTGGAGAACTTTAATGAAGTATTCCAATCCTGGATATCGAAATTAGGCTTGAGGCATATTCGATCTTTTAATTAAACGTTTTAATAGTCAGTTGGTTCCAGAATCGTGATGGGACAACCTTGGTCTTGGTCATGGTCTTCCTTAATCAGTCTTAGTCTTAATCATGGTCTTGATGATATAATATCGACCTTAGTCTTGTGTATTAAGTCTTGGTGCAGCTCATTTAATCTGACACTTTTTTTTTTTAAATAATTCACCTAGGCACAAATTTTTCTATTTACTTACACAATAACTGTCTTACATCCTGAAATTTTCTGTCATACATGCGAGTTTGTGATGATTTGTAAAGAATCGATATCGATACTATTGATAGTTGTGAGAGTTACGAAAACTCAAAAATGTAACTTACCTCCAAAGCATAAATTGACCTTTTAGAGAACTAAATAGGACAAGGTACTTGTAAGAAGTAAAAAATTTTGAAAAAAAAATAGTTTGTCTCTATATTTCAACCATGTGTTATCCAAACATAGAAACAAAGAACACCTACTCCCAGGATATTCCTGTAGATCCTCTTTTTCAAACAGTGATAAAGATTCTTTTTTTCTATTTAGTGTTAAAATCCAGTAAAGCAAATTGAAAATTTCAAATAACAAAAATGTTTTGTTCCACGAAAAGAATATATTTTATTATTTTAACCCGTAAATCCACTGGATGTAATAATTTTTTCTTTAGTTTTTCGTATTTTTGGTTTTAGTCTTGCTGCTGTTGGTTCGGTCTTAGTTTTAGTCTTGTTCGTTGGTCTTGGTTTTTAACTTGCTAGTATAAAGACAGTGTTGGTTTTGGTGTTGGTTTTGTATTTTTAAATTTTCGCAAGATCAAAACCTGGATTGCAAAACCAAGACCAGTTTTGTTCATCACTATTTCAGAATATTGTCTTATGTAGTAACTGCTACCGTAGTTTTTTTAATTTTAAATCGGTCTCTTTACATAATACCTTTTGCCCTTCTATAAAAATTATTTTGTTTATTTTATATTGTATGTAATAATTTAAGTAATTATACATTTTGAAAAATTTTCTACAATAAGAAAACCAAATAATTATTTCACAAACTGCATAGAAACGAATAATTTGAAGATGTTATGGGTCAAAATCAGAGAGGTGAAGAATTGGCTTCTGACAAAGATTTTCTTACTTTAATTAAACTATAGTATTATATAACTTTGTTTTATTTAACATACATTAATCATTCGTAATTATGAGCACTTCGAGTATACATCAGAAAAAGTTAAAATTTATCTGTATTTTTGAATAAAATTTACCCAAAAAATCGTTCCGAGAACGCGTCCGTAATCTATTCCGCGTTGTTCAAACAAGAAAAACTTATACATCAAGGAAGGTAATAAAGGTACAGACCTAGATTTTAATTAAAAATGTCTTATATTTGCGTTATCTACTACTAATAAGTTTTTCTCAATTCCAAATTAGCATTAACTTGCATGGAAATGTTGCCCGACAGTTAACGAGTCATTTCGTGAACGCAACCATAATAGGACAGTTTCTTCGGAAATAAATGCTCTAGGTAGAAATAGTGTGCAGTCGCAGAAACATTTTTTAACAAGGTGGCTGGTGTGTTTGTGTTATTCGCATTAAATTGTTAATAATTCAGATAAAAACTTATCAAGTCAGTTTTTAGATCGCGTACTTTAATTCTTTGTCATTGCGGGAACGTCTTTTAGTATTGTTTGAGACAAAAAAGATAAAAATTATAACTTTTTGACGTGCAACGTCTTATAATTCGATGAAGCCGGCTGCATGCACGAAAAAACATGACTCATGCGGCGTTACCTCGCTCTGAGGCGTTCCATTTAAGGCTTGAAGTGCAAACGAGAGCGCGAAACGAGCGACAAAGAGGCACAATCGGCCTCCGCGTTCGGCAGCGTTCGACATCTGTCTCTCTTCTACTTGAGTGAGCGATGCGTCCGCGTGGACAGCTGCTATACAATAATACATTTCCATTTACCTCCTTCTCTATATCCATACAAAATATCTATCAAACAAATAAAATTAAAATTTTCTTTTGAAAAATGAAACCATCCCATCAGTATTTTCTTATGACGTTGTCACGTTCAACTATCGTCAGTAAACCGACTTTCCAGACAACCGATTTTTTCTGTTAGACAACGTAATTCACAAGTAATTAATTTCAAGAACTGGCGTCCAACATGGCGCATTTGTTTTGTAAAACTTTTTAAGTATCATATCGTCATTTCGGGAATGGTCATTTCGGGAACAATTTCGAAAAATGATGAGCGTTCCCGGAATGATAATTGCATTCCCAAAATAGTTGTTCAGTTCTCTACTGAACTATTTAACGATTCTAAGGCTAAAACTTTTATTTTTGTGCCTGTCTTGTGTAAAAAAATATGCTATTTTTTATTGTATAAAATCGTCAAAAAATATTGGGAATCATTTAAATAAAACTTTTGGAAATATTATTGTAGGTATTTGAAACTTTTTGGGTTTGTACTTTTACTTTAATTAAAGAACGTATTCAGGACATTATCAGAAGTGTGGAAGAACTTACGAATAAAAGCAAAAAAAATTAAAACAACAGGTAAACCGAAATAGTGCTTAATATTTAAAACAACGCGAAAATGCTAATGCATGGAAACGAAAGTTTTTGGATAAAACGACTCCTTAGCAATAAGAACTAAAGAAAGCAAAAGACAGAGAATATTGTCAAAGAACAAAGGCTGAAAACTATAAAAGTATTGTTTTATTCGCGGTAAAGTTTTAACAGGTTCATTGCCAATAAATAATACTGTTGGTCCTAAAGTATTTAATGAGGCTGGTACTGTTAGATGTTAAGTTTATAGATGATTAATTTTAAAAAAGATTGACTACATATCATTTTTATTATTTACAAAGCAATCATCATCTTTGCATCAATCGTCACTCAGAGAACGCTGCCATCATTTTGGGAACGACGTGTCCTTTTCGGAAACGCCAGAAAGAAGTCAAAAAAATTGTGAATTTTTTTGATAACTCATTAGTCTGTGCCTAAATAAAGAAATGTACTATTACCCTATGGTCACATGGTAATAGTTTCAGATTCAACTGCGCAATATAAAAAATAAAACAAAGTTTCGTATTGAAATTAGCACATATCATGATTTTGAATAGAATGCTTTATGATATTTATAGCATAATATAAAAGAAATCATAAAATAAGTATTATCTTGTTGTCAATTTTCTTTATTTCGTTCTCGAAATGATGAATATTAATACCAATATGATTATTAAACAGCAAAACTTTAAAATAAATGAAAATTTAGCTTGGCCCTTTCGATATACCATTAATGAACTATGCCTCTGTAATTGTAAATTATAATTACTTAGTAAGTAGCATTTCCTTTTTTCAAAAATTTGGAATCGTAAAATGCTCACCTCTCTGATTTTGACCCTTATCTTTCTCGGTATGATCTGCAAAAGTCCCTATTGATGATAATACAGCTCAGCATCTCAGGTAAAGTACGAAAACCCCAGTTTTGAATTATAGGTTTGAAAATTTGAAATACGTACTAACTAATTACGTCTTTTCATTTTTAAATTAACGGGATCCAAATTCACCTGAATAATTGTGCTGAACAAATGAAAGTATTTCTTATGCAATCAAATTTCTTTACAAAATCAGTTGTTAAATTTATTGCGTACTAATATTATCAAGCTTTTCTTTTAGGAACTTAAGGTAGAAATTGGTTTATTCTTTAAATTTTTGTTTAGTTGCTGATTTTACTGTTCCCAACTTGGGCGGACTACCTTAACCCAGGTAGAAAGTGATCAATGAAATTAGCTTGCATTAAGGTAATTTTGTAAGCGTTAGCTTCAAACTAGCTAACTAAGTAAGGATGGTACAAAGTTAGTTGGTAACGCTTTAGAACGCTAACAGTAAGCTTACGATTTTAGCTTGCATAAACAATGACAATTTAGCTAACTACAAGATAAAAAATAAATCATATATTAATAATGTACCTACAAGTTAGGTATGTTGAGTAAAAATAAGCGTTCATAACCTAAATGTTGATGTCTTGTCGGTTGTTTTTACAACGATTTTAATGTACAATATCTTAACCGATGTAAATAATCGATGTTATATAGAAAATGCAATAAATAATTATAAATTTCATCTTCTTGTTCATAACCTCAATGTTGATGTCTCGTCGGTCGTTTTTAAAACTATTTTAATGTACAATATCTTAACCGATGTAAATAATCGATGTTATATACAAAATGCACTCAATATTTTATATATATTTTCAGTATTATTTTAATTGCTACATTTAAAGCCTCAAATGTTAAAAATTTAACCAAAACGTCGAAGAAATTAATAAAGGTACTGTTATTAAAATTAAGCGCTAGTATATAAAACAGAATAAAATTAATCTACTTTTATTGCTATTATAATTATTTCATTACATTAAATTGTATAATTTAAATTATAATATTTTTTTGTCATTTCTATTATTTGTTAATGTAAGTACATTAAATTAAAAATTATAACAAATGTAGAACATTGTAAAATATTTTGCTAGGTTAGTAATACAAAAAAGTAGCTTATTATTATCCAATATTGTTTTCGCTGGAATAAGTAATAATATAATGTAACGTTGCTTTAACCTATGATTTCATATTAAAAACAAGTCTCAAAATTCGCGTGGAAAACAAGCTAACAGGGAGATATACTTTAAGGTTACCTCCACTTGAAAGTCTTGTAATGTTTTTCATTCTAACAACAACCTAGAACTAAGCTTGCGAAACGAATCATGGATGCTAGGCTAAAATAAAGCTAGTTTGAAGTTTCAAACTTGTCTGACTAAGATAATTTTCTACCTGGGTAATAAAGACTATTTATAGCTCGGCTGACTCATTGAGTTTACAACTCCTTCAAACTGATAAACAGTAATGTTATCTGCCAATTTTTGATAAGATTTGATTTTCAGCAGACTTAAAAAAATGGAGGAGATTTGTTTTCAATTTGATTGAAATTTTTGTGTAAATTTATACAAATCGTGACTTTCTTCGTCGATTGTTAATCGATTTTAATGACTCTTTTTTTATTAAACATTATATTCCAAGGGTGATCTTCATAAGATTGGAAAATTAGGGGTAAGTTCGTATATATCGGCAAACTTGTTATCGATGCAGAATTATTATTTATTTATGTATGTTGCAAATGTGTTATTTTGAAAATTTATGTAACATAAACGCTTTCTCACAGATTTACATAAAATCATTTGGGTATCAATTAGTATTTGAAGATTACGATACCGCATCCCTAAGAGTATTACCACTATAAGTGTGTAATATGGAACCAGTTAACCAGAAATTCCATAAATAAATCATTATTTTAGTGATATAATTACCACGAAATATGAATTTCCAGAAGCTTACCTTAATTGCATTAATTGATGGATATCCACATAGTTCGATAGATGAAATTACAATCGGACCATGTCACAATTATTAGGCAGGTACTTATCGATACCTTTACAATACCAGCACTTGTACTCAAATGTTTACGATAACCTATTTTAATCGAATCAATTCCGTTATCAGGTCGACGATGTTTCAAAGATAAAAAAAGCTGCGAGCGCACAATTTAACGCTGACGATGTGCAGAGATGGAATGGTATGTTACAGTGAAAGTTATTGTAAAATTTTGAATGTTGACTAATACATCTTAACTTGAGCGGAGTTCCTGGACAGTTTCGAGTGAGAATTGAAATATTTTATTGGCTGTGTATTGCCATCAGGAGTGCTTTCGATATTGATTTCATCATTAAGTGTTCTTCTGGAGAATCATGCACGTCGTCAATAATTATGTTTATGTTTATGTTTATGTTTATGTTTATTTAGTAGAAGGCAGCAGTACAAAACTGGTAATATCTACATCATGTGTTACATTATCATAATAATAAGTGAAGCTACAAAAATAATATCTGACATTTATAATAAAATTTAAAATAGAGTAAAGATAGGAGACGAGAAATTAGAAGTGGCCGATTTTAAGTATCTAGGAAGTCAGATAAGTCAGTACAGAAGGAGTAGTAGGGATATAAAGCAGAAGATAGCACAGGGTCGTGTCGCCTTTAATAAAAAGAAGTCACTTCTATGCTCGCGAACGGTTAATTTAGAAATTCGAAAAAGGTTGTTAAAGGTGTATGTTTGGAGCGCGGCGTTGTACGGGTGCGAAACATGGACAGTGGGCGGGGTGGAAAAGAAAAGGTTAGAAGCGTTCAAAATGTGGTGTTATAGGCGAATGATGAGGATAACGTGGATAGAAAAGATTAGAAATGAAGAGGTATTAGAAGGAATAGGAGAACAGAGGACTGTATGGAAGTCAATAAAAAATAGGCGAAATAGATTGGTAGAACACCTTCTCAGACATGAAAGTCTAGTCAGAGACATATTAGAGACAGAGACAGGAGTTAGGAGGGGTAGGGGTAGACGTAGGTTAGATTACTTTTCGCAAATAGTTAAGAATGTGGGTTGTTCTAGTTTTAGGGAAATGTGAAGTTTAGGTCAGGATAGGAAAGAGTGGAGATACGTGTCCAACCAGTCTTAGGACTGACAACCTTATGATGAAGAGAGAATAATTTGCAATTAAAAATACGCAACATAGTCTTTTCTTTCTTTGCTTATGTTGACTAACATTTCCAATGCTATGTTGTATAAAAAAATGATGTACTTCAAATAATATTGGCGTATAACTGTTACATTTACTTTAGCATTGTTAATTGATGCTTAGTCCTCCCAAGTGTCTAGTAATTGTTATCTTTAAATTGCGAATGTCGACATCTTAACATTTAACTTAATTACGTATTCGTTATTTTTAGTTTTTAAAAAAAAATTTGTCGTGTACTGCTGTGATATATCGGTACACACTATGGACACATAGTAATTTTCAAAAATATACGAAGTTCTTAATTCGTGTTCAAGGGGGAGCGCCCACCGAAGAAGCGCAGCATTAAAATATAGCAGAAGCATGATTCTGGCATAACAGTGGGGTGGCATAACATAAAATTTTTGTGAAGAGGCAATCGAGCATTGAAAAAAATTTGCGGGGGTCCTGTAGCTCATGAGGTTAATTTGTGCTTACGTTCTTGTATTATCTGCCTGTTTATACTACTTAGGTAATATACGGTTAACTAATTTAAACAATGATAGTCGGTAAATAATGTAAATAATTATTTCATTTCTTTTATTACATTCTGCAGTTGCTATAAAGGATACAAGAGAGAACGTAAAAGAATAAGAAGCAAAATTAAAAATTAATTTAATTCAAAAATATAAATCGCAATAAAGTAATATGTTGGTTGTAAACTGAATATTTAAAAGTTAACTGTAAACTGTATCCAGGAGCGCATCGGTTTTTATGAGTTGGAAGGAGTGAATTTTGTGAAAAATGCGGACTCGATCAGAAATTTTTTGCCGGCTCTAGAGACTGATTGTATAGTATAGTCGAAATAAGAAGGCAAAGTCCCCAATAAATAATGCACACCTAAGGCATATCGTTTTTCTCGTTCTTACAAACGGAAGATATCCTGTCTTTTTTTTTGCCCACTACACACTTCCTCAAATTAATGAGGAAAAATTTGTTGCTGTTGTCACACCCCCGCCGGGAATCGAACCCGGGCTCTTTGGCTTTACGCGCCAATGCTTTGACGACTAAGCTACGAGAGATGACAACAGCAACCGTACTTATTAGGTCACAAATCCGTCGAACTAATATATACTATGATTAAACATACATACAAAACGGAAGATATCCTGTTTTTACACTCTAAACACGTCTCCTCCACAGCTAGGTCGAGACCTGCACCTACGTTTCACAAGAATCAATCGAATAAAATGAGACGATCGACAACATGCTTGTCTTGACATTTGTACCTACATATCTACACATATCGTTTAAGTTATTTTTTCGTTGTAACTATTGTTGTGTTGTTTTTGTTGGTGTTATTCTTGTTGTTATTGTTAACCTTTAACGAAATGGTCCGAGAAGTTTTAAATTCTCAGAGTAGAAAATTTGTTTGAAATGTCATTAATTATTTTCAAAGAAAGAAAAAAACAAGTAGAGAAAACATTTCCGTTATAAACATAGCGGCGGAGGTTTTGAACATTAGTTGCAGAACCGTATCCCGGATAGGAAAAGAAGGTGGAACTTTTAATTTAAAAACAGATGTATTATTTTGTAAAAAAATATTTTTATGAAATTAAAAATAAACAATAACGCATTCATTTCTCATCAATGCTGACTATTTTTGAAGTCGATTGACCTCCTCTAATTCGAGATAAACTTAATTAATATTTTTAGATGTATGGGTATGTATGAATACAGAATCATTCAATCTGTTTTGATGTACAATCATTATATTATGTATTAATATTAATTAAATTAAATTAAATTATATAAATATTATCTTAGATCTTACAATAACTGTTTCACCATACTGAAGCACGGCTACTACCTTAAGCCGATCCTGTAAATTTGCTCATTTAATGTAGGTACAGACAACAAGACAAGCAAGTTTTCAACCGTCTCATTCTATTCGATTGATTCATATGAAACGTAGGTGCAGGCCTCGACGCAGCTGTGGAGGAGGCGTGTCTAGAGAGTAAAGACAGGATATCTTCCGTTTGTAAGAACGAGAAAAACTACATGCCTTTAGTGTGCATTATTTATTGAGGACTTTGCCTTCTTATTTCGACTATACTATACTTACTTATAATGGAAAAAAATTGCAAGTTGCAGTCAATCCATTTCCCTGAATGTGCTAAATCCGACAAGTAAATGCCTATTCAGACCTTTAGCATCAACGCTTGGGGGTTTGGGAGATTAACCACATCACTGCCTCGATACGCCTCTGACTGTAGTCTTGTAGGTCGGTTTGTATCATCCAGTGTTAATTTACGCTCCCATCCTCACGGCACTATACGATATCAGCACAACATGCAAGTGATATGTTGTCTCAAGTTGCGCGCATGTAATTAAATGCAGCCACACACACGGCGAGGTACGACAAAAAACGGTACGATATACTGAAAACATGTTGCCAGTCAACACTGTTCTTTAGTTACCGCTCTTCCTTTATAATATTGGGAAGTATGACAGTATGACAATTTTAAATTATATAAGTACAGTACAAAAGACGTAACGTATAATTTTCTGTTGAGTCTTGTTCTGCCACCAATAGCCTTTATTTTTTTTGACGTGATAACGTCTTATAATTCGATGGAGCCGGCTGCACGCACGAAAAAACATGACGCATGCGGCGTTACCTCGCTCTGAGGCGTTCCATTTAAGGCTTGAAGTGCAAGCGAGAGCGCGGAACGAGCGACAAAGAGGCACAATCGGCCTCCGCGTTCGGCAGCGTTCGACATCTGTCTCTTAAGTGAGCGATGCGTCCGCGTGGACAGCTGCTATACAATAATACATTTCCATTTACCTCCTCTCTATATCCATACAAAATATCTATCAAACAAATAAAATTAAAGTTTTCTTTTGAAAAATAAAACCATTCCATCAGTATTTTCTTATAACGTTGTCACGTTCAACTATAGTCAGTAAACCGACTTTACAGACAACCGATTTTTTATAATATGTGGGGGTACCCATTATTATTTTCTTTCTTTTTCGGCGTTTTAAATAAAAATACATGGCAAGCTCTTCTTCTTCTTCATGACTAAATAATAAGGGCTCTTTTTCACTCGACATCTTTTTAAACACATGCAAGCCGTTGGTTATATCTGTGTTTGCGATAATTATCAAATGTGCATAAGATGAGTTTGATACAATTTTTTACTGTATCGTAAGCATATCGTATTGATGTCGGGTAGCGTCGTGAAGATAAGGCCTACATCCAACAATCTACACCACGACTTTGACGCTGTGTAACTGAACATGAAGGTGACATGAGCAGTGTAATATATATACACATGCACACATACACACATAGGTACACAGGAACACCCATACATATACATTTGGTTTTATTACATATTTGTCCCGTAGGTTATTTCTAACATCAGTTGCACTTTACATACATGTCGTTAACTTTTAACCAAGCCTCAAACTGTCGTTTTTCGAAAACCTCATGAATACTTATTAATTGTTGAAGCTTGCAAGGTACCAACTTCGATAATCTCATATTAAAGAATTCCGGCCAATTTACAAGTTTAATTCCTAAATTTTGGGCGACGAATCCAGTCAAGAAGATATCTTCAAGTTTGAAAAAAGTATGAGTTAAGCTGGCTTGAAAAAGTTCCTGTGAGAGAAACGCGGGAAACACGTAAGCTGGTCCCGTTGTAAATTCAGGATAAATTGTTCCGTTAAATTCTGGAAAGGACACATAATGTTTCGACCTTTGATCTCGAGAAGGTTTCCAATATTTAGCTATTTTGCCATAAATTGCTCTTTCTGTAAAATTTTGATCAACTAGGTACTTCAGTAACCGTGGAATGTTAATGAAAACGTCATCGTCAGTCTTTAATACAAACGTTGCATTTGGGCATTTCACAGTTATCCATTCCAACATGAATACAGTTTTCAGTGTAAGATTGTTGTATGCGTCTACGAAATATCCTTGAATTACATCTTGATACAGATATTGTTCTTTTTTTATTTCCAACTGAACTGAGTCATTGGAGCTACGACCAACCACAAAGACTACCATAACATCTTTTCGTAAGGTCCAGTGGCCCCATGTCAATCTTATAACCATTCGATTCCTTGTATGTTCTACTGACGAAATAACCATTACCAATAACGTAATGTTTCTGCATGGATTTCCGCAATCAAATTCTTTTACGTTGATTTGACCCTCTTCGTACATGGATTTTAATAAGATTGATTTACCTGCTGAACTGAGGAGTTCGTTTGTATTTAACATTTTTAGTTGAAACGCATCTTGTGCTAAAATTTCAGCCATACACTTGACTGAAGAAATGCAAATTAATGAACTGCTGATTACAAAAATCAATACCACTTGCAGTGATTGCCTTCCGAATGTTATAAACAGCATTCTGAAAATAAAAATAGGAAAATTGAACTAAAAATTTCTATAATAGATACATGAAACAAATTAATCAGTCGATACTTTAACCAATTTAGCTACTATTATTAAATTGTTGTTTTTAATGCTGCAAATTGGTTATGACTAATTTTATATAATAAATGGGTAATTATAAAAAACAGTTATTAGAAGTAAAAGTACTTACTTTACCATTATTTTATTGATTTCTAGTTAAAAAACAATCATTCACTTTTGAACTGAAGAAACGATTGTTACCACCGATACTAGCTAATACATTAGTTTGTTGTTATTGGCATAATGTTATTTACAATCATTTTCTGTGTGCATACTTCTAAATCTACGTCAATTTTATACAATATAAATACGTACACAATGGTCATGTGAAGTGAAAAAGGTATTTAGTATTTCTATTACTTTTACCACCTGCTCTTAACAATAGATTATTTCACATTAAACGATTAACACTGATAATGGAAAAAAATACAATCTCTGTATGATGAATACCTAGTATTACATGCATGTATGTATATGTATATATACACGGTGCTCAACTTTTATGAGTAATATGCTGGTGTCAGAGATGTGATTATTACTACGCTGCGCTTAACTTATTTAAAAGTGGTGCCATTATGATATGCAATCAATTGTACCCAAGATAGGCAAAAAGCATCGAGTGCATACGGCGGGATTAACGGATGGCGGATAATCCTGTCGAATAGTTGCTACTGATGATGTGATAAAAGATGACACCTACTAAGTGTATTACAGTCAACTTAGAGGCAGGCACTGAGATACGATTTTTTCAGCGAATAGTATGGAAAAACTGGAATAAGAACAACAAGAAATTAAAAATGCCCTTTTCAGAACCACCCCAGACGACCGCACACTCGTTCAGGGTGATGTCGATTGAACATTTACGCCAGTCAAAGAAGTAATCTTGGATAAGATAATTAATTAATTCCATCAACATACTGGTCATGCAGGAAACGCATTATGACGCCAACCACCGCAGACTCAAAATATTTAGAATGAAGGCAGCAGTCAAAAGACCCCATGGGAAACGCGGCAGTGCAATCCTGGTCGCTCAGAATATTCAGGTTCTCAGTATAACGTAGACAAATGGGACGGACATCGAACCGGAAAACTGTTTCATTACATCGGTATATAAACCGCCAGGGACAATGTTTGCTTACCCCAATTCCACTCAAAAAATGGAAATTGTGATCGGGGACTTCAACAGCCACAGCACAAGATGGAGATATGAGGAATGTGATCCAAACGGCACCCTAGTGGAGGACTGGGCAGAAAGAAACGACGTAAGCCTGACTTAAAGTTGCCGGTTTTCTTCAACAATTGTAGATGGAGTAAAGGTTATAATCCTGACATCTTCGTTGCATACATTAAATGTGTCATTGGGGAGCCGTAGAAACCAAATCACACACACAACACAGCACCATAATATGCGATATGGAGCCGATAATTAAACTTAAAAAAAGCTGACTGGAAGGGATTCAGGGAAGCGCTTGGTAACAGAAAAAGCAGCACCCCTCAGGAACTGGAGGGATATGGTGCCTTTGTGGTAGTGGTTAAGGAGATCTCAGGAACTGATCCGACGAGGGTACACATACCGGACACGAAGAAGAAGCTTGAGTCCAAATATCCTTTCGACAATAACACAATAGAAATGGGCCTTGAGATCGCGGAAAAGATCGTAAAAAATGGGAGCAGTAACTGGCAGAACCTCGATGAAACCCTCAACTTTAGAGAGGTAGAATGATGGACGTCACAGCTAACCAGATAGCACATCAGTTACTACTGAGTGGGAACACTGACAACATAGTCAATTCGAGAGGAAGGATAATCCGAACACCCATGAAACAGAAGGACCATTTTGTGGAACAGATCAGCTATGCGAACAAATCAAAAATTTTGGAAAAACAACGAAAATGTGGATCCCAACACTGTATAACAATTGTATCTCCAAAATGCAGATTCCTAACTTTAGAGGAGGGTCCATGTCATTCCTATCTAGAAACTCGGAAAGGACCACAACGATCCCAAAAACATCAGACCCATATTTCTGCCCTGCCACTTGTTCAAGATCTTCGAGCGAGTTATTCTACCCAGAGTTACATATAGCATCGAAAGAGAACTAATAGGCCAAGAAGCTGGATTTAGATCCGGGAAATCCTGGACGGGACAAATACTGCGAATGGTACAGCACATCGAAGACTGATTTTGAAAATAAAACGTGTATACCAATGACCAACGCATCGGCAGGAACACTTCCTGTATGCCGATGAACTCGTACTGACTGCCCAGCATGGGAATTTTCAGGTCGCAGAAAAAGCTCTTAAAACAGGATGTTACAGAAGTTGAATTAAAGTTTTTACAGCATTGGACAGCGCTTGGAATTTAGAACGTCGACCGGATACGATATAATAATGATCAACCTGCCATAGGCAGTCTCAATAAATTACTGACCAAAATGAAGACATGAGAGGATATCTATGTAAATGGACTTTCTCGAACATATTGAATTCCACTAAATATAGCATTGTACTGCACATGGCTGTACACTTACGTCAATTAATTAAATTCATTTTTTCCTTTATGTTCAAATATCAACAAAATGGTACAAACTAAGAAAAGTTAAAAGAATTCTCAGTCATCCATTTTTGTAATCATATATCAACAAAACATAACAGAGTGAGTAATAGTAAAAATTTTATTTTAAATATTTATCAAAGACAATACAAGGATTTACAAACCAAAAACAATCAAATAGTCCGGATCTCTGCGCAATACTGCACGAAATCGACTATAATAAGAAATTGCTTCATAATTAATTGCTACATTCCATTTCAAGGAAGACTGGTAGTTAGTAAGACCTCGCTGGATGTTTTGAGCAATTCTGCTTCTGTCTGGGAAAAACGCATAGGACGCATTAATCATCTTCAGGGTGTGACCTAGCAAAGGCCTAGGAAAATCCGATTCCACTACTGTTACATTCTAAAACAGTCGAAAAACAAAAAAAAAATGGGTGCGTGTACTTATGTATGTGCGTGAGAAGTTATACTTCTTTGGCATCATTAAAAATAGAAAAATACACAACATGTCAAAATCTTCTGTCACACAATGATAAAGAAAAGACGTATGTAATAAAAAACAATAAAACAAATAACGGATGTCTTACATTATATTTAAATAATCTATTAAATTTTTGTCACGAACTTTTTATTAAATGTTCTATTAAATTTATTTCTTTATTTTGTAAATATTAAATAACCAATAATAAATATTCAACATTGATAATTTAATAATATTTAGTATTAATTATATTAAATAATGATATTTTAATTTATATCAATAAATAATACATAGGGATAACTAACCTCAATTATATTGGAGCACTTAAAAAAGTATTTTAGCACAATTTTTTCACTAATATTCACAAATAGTAAATAATATTAATCCAAATATTCAATTTAAATCACTACTGAATATATTTTATTGCCACATATATAATTCGCACTTGTATGAAAATAAAACACGTGTTGTGACTGTAAAAACTAAAACCATGTGGATAAATATTATAAATAAATATGAAAACAGTGATCAGAGGCGACAAGCGTACCAACATGCGCGACTAAGAGAGGTTTTATTTCTATTTCGTTGGTAGCTTTTTTCCGAGACTTAATGAATTCGGTTGAGTGGGCAACTTCATCCTGTTAATTTTGTGTTACAGTGATGCGCGCGCATCTTGAAATTTCACTCTCATCAGTTTTTCATAACGCGCCTAAAGAAGTATAACTTCAAAAATTTATTCAATTCTTAGGTTTATAATACTTATTATACGTAAAAACAGCAAATCATTTAAAATTTAGTCATCTCGTCATGTTCAAATGTTAGCCCACCCTTCTCCTTTACAACAACCCACGAAAGCATAAACGAACTTATAGGATTTGTAAATATTAAAAGCATTTGTAGACTGAAATTTTGCACGAAATTATAACAGTTTCCTTGCAGTTAGCAATTATAATTTAGGAATGTATTTTCTCGCTGAACCAAAAGTTTGTTAATGTTTATAACTTTTTGGTGAACTACGATATAAACGATACATTAGATCAGACATATCAATTTTATATTGGGCAATAAGTGTAAATTCTTGTAACTTATTGGCATTTGAATTTGTATAAGTACTCTCTGTTTTTCCCTCGCCTTTCAATTTGGAATTATTAAATAACTCGCTAATAGAAACACAATTATAACGGGATTGTAAATTATTTAACCTAGTGATGAGCAAAGCAAGACTAAAACCTAGTCTTGGTATTAATCTTGGCCTTAGTCTTGCTGATATAGTCTCGGTATTGGTCTTGGTCTTGCTAATATAGTTTCGGTCTTGATATTAGTCTTGCGTATTAAGTCTTGGTGTAGATCATTTAATTTGATACTTATGTTTTTTTAAATAATTTTTAGTATTTGAAAATTTCAGATTGCTTTACTATATTTTAATACCAAATATAAAAAAAAAACTTTACCATTGTTTGAAAAAAGGGATCTACAAAAATATTCTTGGAGTAAGTGTTCTTTGTTCCTATGTCTGGAGAACACATGGTTAAAACCAATAGCCAAACAACTTTTTTTCTATATTTTTTACTTCTTTCGAGTACCTACCTTGTACCATTTTGTTCATTGAAAGGTCAATTTATCCGTTAGAGGAAGGGTCAATTTATTCACTGAAGAAAGAGTAACTTCTCGAGTTTTTGTAACTCTCAAAACTATCGATATTATTTTTTTAAAAAATCATGACAACCTCGCATGCTTGAGAGAAAATTTCAGCATTTAAGACAATTATTGTGTCAGTAAATAGAAAAATTTGTACTTAGAAGAATTATTTAAAAAAACGGATTAAATTGTTTGGCTCTATGTTTCAAGCATGTGTTCTCCAGACATAGGAACAAAGAACACTTACTGCAGGGATATTTTTGTAGATCCCTTTTTTCATATAGTGGTAAAGTTTTTATTTATATTTGGCATTAAAATATAGTAAAACAAACTGAAAATTTCAAATACTAAAAATGTTTTACTCCAAGAATAGAATACATTAAAAGTTGCTTGTTGCTCCAAATAGTTTAACTCATAAATCCACCGGAATTAAGTAATACCTTTTCGTTTAGTCTTGGGTATTTGATCTTGGTCTTGTATATTCGTTCTTGGTTTTGTTCGTTTGGTCTTGATTTTAGTATTGGTCACTTTCGTTTGGTTTTAGTC